GTCTTGTCAATTTGGCATCATCCAATTGATTTGTTTGCAAGTTTTTACTTACTCTGTTATGTCTGGATCAATCAGAAATACAAAGATTTCATGAAAATAGAAATAACATTATAATAATAGCTGCACAGTCTAATTCTGTTGAGCACTTGCTGTATTCCAGGGAATATGGTAAAGTCTTCTTTTAGATGAACTTATTCAGTCTTTACCACATCTTCGCAAGTAGTTTCTATGAGTAGTTTTATTTTCCCCATAAGAGAAACAAATAGAGAGGATAAGCAAATTTCCTAATATTACACAACCAGCAAGTGTTGTATAATATCAAAGGCAGTTATAAAATATTATTTATTTGTTCTTGAAAAAAAGGAGTTACTTCTCATATCTCTTAATTGGCATAATTACTCCTTAACTGAATAACTCCTCATTCACTCTTCTAGTCATACTTAGAACTTTATTTAAAATATTTCTTGTTATTTATCCAATTTCACATCATACATAATTATTGTTGTGCATGACTAGATTACAAGGCATGTATTTGTAAGTAATGTCATGTTTTATTGCCCTGATGCCTTATGCAATAACTGACTCATTGAAGGCCCACTTTTAACACATGATAGTGAAAATATCAAAGACATCTCTAAAGGTTATAAAAACAAATTAAAATGTGTTTGTTTTGGGGTTTTTTTTTTGGATTTTCCAGAGAAGAAAACTTTGCATTGAACATTATCTGTGTAATTAGGTTACTTGTATTACTTAGCCCTATTTATTAGAGGGATTTTCCTTTAGAAGTCAGTCAAAAACAGGCACATCCATCCACCACACATACATACACACAAGCACTTTCATAACAAATATGAAAAAATATTATTTCATTAGAACCACACACCTTTCAGCAGTTTCAGTAAATTTTGCTTCCTGGTTGGTAGGTGGTAAGTCAAGTCCTTTTTTTCAATTACATAGAAAGTGGTCTAAGGCCACTATGCAATCAACCCATAAATGTTTGAGGTGTCTTTTTAATCAGTAATAAGGAAAATTTAATCTACAATGCCTAAATAAGTCATTTAAAAACTGCTATTGGGCATTGACAACTGAGGTCTAAAACTGAAATTTTAACAAGTCAAGACAGTTGCTTATTAATATATTCTAAACCTAGAAAAGACATTTACTTAACTCTATTACACAGAATGCTCATTCTATCACAAAGGAAAATGTGTGGGGTCAGATTAAATGTGTGTGTGTGTGTGTGTGTGTGTGGCAAGACTCACTATGTACACGGTTTGGAAAAATAATTCCAGGGTACCTCAGATAAATTTGGGGGACATCTCCGACATCAAATGTATATGCTTAAAAAAAACTTTGGGGGTTTGTTATGTTCTTAATGTGATGTTTGCCTTTCCTTTATCCTATAAATCAAATTGATTCTCAGGACAAACAAAAGCATAACGCAAACAGGAGGCTGGGGTATCTTAAATATATAGTATCCTCTTACAATAGATTTCAAAGTAAACATGTGGCGTGACTGCTGATCAGAGGGCTCAGTAGAGACCTATAAGGTAACTCCTATTGGGAAGACTATAACCAACCATCTGCTTAAAGTTCTTGCTCGAAGGAAAACCATCAGAAGTCAGTAGACCTTCACTCCTCCCCTGCCATGCTCCTCTCCCCATTAAGTCACTTAAAACTCAATAAACCCAGGGCATCAAGAGTAGAATCACAGCATAAAGGAACAGAGGTTCAGCAATCTAAAGCACAAGGCTTCTCTAGCACTCCATGGGTCCCTTTTCACCAGGAACTTCTAAAGGTTTTTTTACCCTACTATTCCTTTCAATACCTATGGTACTTCTTTGTGAAGAGAATTGCTGGCTGCCTTGGAATTGCAATTTAATACTTCTACAGAATGAGGCTATTTAAAAAGTACAGTCATTCTACCCTGAAGCTATTATTAAACCAATACATGTTTGTTTTCTTTGACCACATTTATTTGTACACAGGTTAAATGTTTCTTTGTTAACTACATTATTTATAAAATCACTTGGATTTTCTGAATGTATACGTACTTTCTAAACAGAAGAAACAATGCACCAGAAAACTAAACTGCTCTTTTTAATTCTGTGGGGTTTACCAGTAAAACAGATAATTCCTGGTTATTGTAGAAGGTGAACATTTAGTTTTCTTTCAGAATGTTGATGTTGTTCCCAAGGGGAAAAAAGAAAATATGGAATTTTTGTGCTTCAGCATCTAAAGTTACTATAAGAAGGTGGAAATGGGGAACAAACACAAACTGAAACGTATTCAAAAATTCATATTTAAAAGGCAGAATTGTTTTACAGTTTCATCCCAGTGGATAGAATACTGTTAATATAGTAACTCTCTAATTGCCTCATTTGTTTTAGTGAACACATTCCTGTATTTTAAAACAGAACTGAACTTTAAACTTATTAGAAAGATAATAGCAAGCATTAAAGAGCTAGGCCCAGAGAAAGAGATGTTGAAACAGATACATTTTTGCATCAAGAGTCTCAGATTTACATTTCTCCCACTTAAAAAAAAAAACAACAAAAAACTTGACAATTAAAAACAAGTGATAAAGACTATAGAAAAAAACTAGCAAGAGCCACACTCTGCTAATGCATTCAACACAGTCTAAGTATGTGAAATGCCATTTGCTTTACATACAGGACCACTGACTAAGAAACTAAGTTTACAAAAGCCTTTGGCTAGAAAACACACTGTCACAGGTAGCTGTGGCTAAGCTACACCATTTTTCTCAGCAGGACAATAAGCTCACCACTACTAATGCAACTGTTCTCGCATATATGTACAGCTTAGGTTCTAACTTGCACATTAACCATATGTCTACAACAACTTTTAATGTTGCTAAGAGAATGGCCTTCTGTTAGAGTTCATTAAAACATAATCTCTTCTTGCAAAATGACATACTGATAATACCATATTCATTTTTTAATTTTCTCACTGTCACAAAGTAATCTGGATATCCGGCAAAACAAATTGCTACTGAGTAATCACAATAACAAGACATGCCATTGGATATAAAAAGTTTCACTTTTTTAAACCCACCATGATCTTTTTGTTGAATAATTAAGACGGAAAATTTAAAGACCTGTTACAATTTTTACATACAACCAACACTGAAGAAGTTTCATATCTAAAGTAATCTAGGAATGACTAATTCTAATATTTGCTGTAACAAATGCATTGACAATTTTTAAAATTATTTGTAAAAATTACAACTTTCATAAAAGGGAAGATGATCATTCTTTGTCTCTCTTGTACTATATAACTGACATTAAAACTTTGGAAGCTAGAGACTTGAAAGCTTTGTAAGTCACTTAACTTATAGCATCCTTAAATACAAATGTACTCTTGGAACACTAGAGACTGCCATGTCTTTAAAAATCACTTTCGTCTAGGTTTTAACTGTTTAAATATTTATTATTTCATGTATATGTTGAGAGTCATCTCCTTAAGTGTCAAACTTTGAGAGTTACTTTCCTCTAGAAGACTTTACAAATAATTATGAAATCACAGCACAAAAGTTCAGAGTAAATGGCAAGACACTTCAAAGAGTAACTGTAATGTGCAATTTACATTGAGTTGTTTACAACTAACCAAAAATATTAAAATTAGCTCTGTAATTGGAGCAAATTATTATAATACTGGGTAGCAAAGTGATTTTAAAATCATCTACATTTTTTGAACCAAAGTGACCAGCAATTCTCAGGGAAATTAAAGAATACAACTCATTTTATTTTAATCTGGGAAGTCACCTGGGCTTTGTTTGCAAGGAAAGACTAAGTTCACCAACTGCTACAGGGCTAAACCTAATAGTCCTCCCACTAAAATGGAAGTTTGCTTAAAAGAGCCTTAAAGCAGATATGTAGATTAGGAATGGACTCAAGAATTGTACTGCCTTGATTTTTCATACATAATGAGTTTTCTTCATACATTTAATTTCAGAATTAAATACAAACCTTTTATTCTCCCTTTCATTTTCCATCAGATGCACAATCAGATAATGTTTCCATTCACATAGATTTGAAAAGATTCTCATTCTGTGTGGGTTATTTTACTTTATAGTAGTCAAGGGAAAGAGGTCGCTGCCAATATGATGCTAAGTGCATACAGAATAGAAGCTCAGTCCTGGGCAGTGAAACAGTTCACCCTTGTGCTGCTCTTGTGGAAGAGGAATACAAGCCCATCACCAACTTCAGGACTTGATGAACAGCGGGGAGTCACAAAACTCTTTTCAATCACTGTATTTTAAACCTCCACTTAAAATAGCTTCTCTGTGCTGAGGCTTCAAGTCCCATCTATGGTCGGTGATGGAGCACAGTGTTTAACTGTTTCTGACTAGGGCCTCCGCCTCAGCACTCTGAGAGTGTCTTCTAACTTTTAATCGCCTTGTGTGCTCCCTTAATTAGATCTGCTCACAAGACAACCAAATGAAAATGCCTCCCACTAAGCCTACACAAGACATAAAAACAGGTATTTTATAAGTCCAGGAACTTTTGTGCAAGGTCTATCATCTTCTGGAATTAACTATTTTTCTGTGGTTCCCCGAACCTTAAAATCACACATGCTTGAGGAAGAAGGAAGCTTTGTGACTGTTGAGACAGATCCAATGTAAAAACACGGCCAGGTGACAGATCCCCCCTTGTCTCTCTGTGTCCTTTATTGTGGTTGGTTACTGCGTGTTAGGCTTTGCTGTTACTAGAGCTGGAGGGAACACATCTTTGGAAGGGAAAGCTCTTGGTCCTCTCGCTGGGAGCAACACTGAGACTTTCTTCAAGGACTGGGATAACTAGAAAAGGGTTCTGCTCTCTCGAAGGGATTCCAGACGCCTAAAAATAGAGGGACCCTCTAACTTAGGTGGGGGGTGCAAACAGCTTAAGAGTCTGTCCTTGGTCCCCACAGGTGACCTGCAGTAGGACCAACCTACCAGCAGCGCCCCTCGCTAAGGTCCCTCACGCTCCTGGACTCACCTGGTGCTGAGGACCAGCGCGGGCAGGAGAGGCAGCAAGTAGTGCGCTGGGCTGAATTTCATTCTGTCGCCTGCCAGGGTCCTCCTTGTTGCCTTTGCTCTCCGTCGTCCTCCAGGTCTTGTCTCTCCCTGGTGTACGGCTCTGCTCCCGGCCGGCAATAAGCTCTCTCCAGCAGCAGACGAAACGGACAAACGGACAGACGCCTTGCGAAGGCAGCACTGAGAAGGGGGAGTATCTTTGAGAGTGATGTCACCAGCAGCGAGTCATTCCCTGCCCGGGATTGTTCGCGCGGCACCACCGCTCCCCAGCCCGAGCCCGAGCCCGAGCCCGGAGGACGCGCTGTCACTCGCCCTGGAGGTGGCACGGGGATTGGGGGGAGGTGCCCAGCAATGGCCCCTCGCGCTCGGGTCAACCGGCTGCGCTCACACGCTCTGGGCTGATCATTTATTCCCGCTTGCCCAGAGGATGGGGAGGGACGGGGCGGGGTCGAGGATAAGTCTAATTTGCCAGTAATTGCACCAGCCTACTCCGCAGGAGGCACTGTGTAAGACTATCAGATGCTTAAATTACAGGCACGTGTCTCTCACCTGCTGAAACAGTGTTTGAAAGAACGTCGCTCTGGAGAGAGTTTTAAAATATTATTCTAATTAGAAACACATAACGACTCGCCTGATGAGGGTGGAAGGACGACAGGAGTAAGCAGCCTCCAGAAACGTACACTGAGCCCATAATGCCTTTGCAAGCTTCTTAGTCTGCAAACGGGGACTGTAAGCAGGTTTCAGACCGTTAAGACGTCTGCTGCTTCTGGGTTTCGAAGATTTCTGACCTTCCTCTGATTTCACTATTTCCACTTGTACTAGTGGCTGGCAGTGGCGATGGAGCTGGACTGGCCCAACTTCACTCACCTGATGAGGTTCTTTTCTTAAGGTGAGGAGACGTAACTGAGAAATTCACCAAGATGTTAACAGTAATTAACTTGGAGTTGTGGCATTAAGAGGCGGGAAAAATTTGTGTCATTTTGTTTTCTATATTTTCCAAATTTTCTATAATGGACATCTTATATTTAATAATCTTTATTTTGAAAATTAATTAGTAAAATGAAATAACTCAAATGCAAAATAGCACTTGGCAAAAGCAATTCTGGAAAACAGAGCCAACTTCACATACTGAGGTGTTCAGTTCTAGGATCTTCACAACATGGTATATTTTTATATTCCAGCAGGATATCCCAGTTAAATAAATGCTTATAATCATTTTCTTCTATATTATTTCATTTGACCCTATGCGTATTATAGAGATGAGAAAACTGAAAACCATCAAGATCTGAGCTGGATTATTATTATTATTTTTTTTTTTTAACAAAGAACTAGGTTCTTCTAAATCTGAGACTGTTGCTTGGAACATCCCACCCAGCACAAGTAGCCCAGCGATTAACACAGGGTTGATGTTCAATAAAGGTGGAAATGCACCAAAGGTTTATGAGGCAAAGTCCTATGGTCTTCAGGAATTCCCATCCAGAGAGTTCAGCTCATACTCCATTACTCAGGGGCAAGCCCTCCACAGCAAAATTTAGGTTCAGCCTCTTCTTTAACTTAATTTTTTAAAGACAGTATTCATAGGAAAAGTACATGTGTTATAAAGCTTTATTTTAAAGAAGATGCATGTTCAAAGAGTTAACCACCTAATTTACTGACTTTTTTTCTTTTAAGGGGATTGAAGTGTAAAACATTTACAGAGAACAGATATTGCTTTAAAACCCCCGGCCAGTAAAATAGATGAGTAATAACTTTTGCAAACTGGATACCAGCCTCTTGGGCAATAGTAAGATCCACAACAGATATAACTAGGCATACGAGCATACAAATCAACTCGTTTGTGAATTGCATGTTATTTAAATAGAAAAATTGTACTATGCTTTGCTAAAACAGAACTCTGACTCCAAAGTAAAACATGTATTTCAGTTTGTTCCTGCTAGAAATATCTAATAATAGATTTCCTGCTCAGTTTGGAAGGTGACCATTGAGTTGCATGCTCAACAAAGACATATGACAGTATTAGTAATAAAAAAGTATGTATACTGGAAAATAACACTCATATTTATAGAGCACACTTTTGTTTATATAACAAGATGGACTTCATTATCTGGGCCCTAATTATAGGACCCACATATGATAATCATTTTTATTATTATCTTCTTTTGCAGTGGAGGTGACAGATTCACAGTGGTTAAGTAATTCCTCAGTGCCACTCAGAAAACTGTATAGTGGAGATGGAATTCAAGTTCACTCTGCATCATTTCAAAACATTTGTTTTCTTCAGGAAAAGGTTTTGTTAAATATATCTGGGTAATAGAAGACTTTCCCCCATCTTAAATTGTGTTACTTATTTCATGTACAACATAAAACAACAGACTACTGTAATATTGTCAACCAAGAAAGGGGAGCATCAGAATGAACTTTGTTTAGCCTGCCTTATGGTAGTGTTTTATCCCTGTATTGAATGCCAATAAAGAGCCACAAGGTCTGTTGGCCTTTATGCATTTCTGTAAGCAGACAAAGGAGACGTCTCACTTAGGAGGGCATGAGAGCAGCAGGGAAGCACACCATGAAAGGTGAACCTAAAAGAGATTTCAGAAGCTCCTGCAGATTTAGGGGATTGAAGTATTGTATTCTGAATTCTAGTATAGATCTACCTCTCAGCAAAAGTCTTTTCTTCTTGGGGAATTACAAGACCATAAGTCTCTATCACCTATGACATTTAGTCCACACTGTCGCAAGAAAACTCAAATCCAGCATGAACTTAATGGCTTCAGAGATGTGGTACATACATTTTAAAGATATAGCAGTGCAGACAGGAGGTCCACTTAGCTGAAACCACTTGACCTACGCTGAGTCCCAACACTTTGCTCAGCAAAAGTTGTTTGTAGTAACTGCACTCAAGTCTGGATAAAGACATCAAGAAAACCCATGCAGTTACACTGAAAGGCTAGTCTCCATAACATGCAAGAGAGACACTGAGAATCTTTAAAAAAAAAAATAAAAAGAGCTTTATTAAGATTTAATCCAATTACCAAAAACTTCACCATTATAAAGTGCATAATTCTGTGTTTTCAAAATATTATGAAATTGTCATCATTATCTAATACTGGAACACTTTCCTCACCCCCATACCCACTAGCAGTCACTCACCACCCCCTTTTTGCTCCCTTTTCCACACACATGGCAACCACTAATCTAATTACTGCCACTACAGATGTACCTAATTTTTGACCTATCATAAAAATTGGGTCATAATATATGTGGCCTTATGTGAACGGTTACATTCATATTCATGTTTCAATTATTCATGTTGTAGTATGTATCAGTAATTCATTTCTTTTTATTACTGAATAATGCTCAATTGTAGGAATATACCACATTGCACGTAATCATCATTCATTCATTGACATTATTGTCGTTTCAATGATTTGGCTACTAGGCATAATGCTGCTATAAACATTTATGTAAAAGTTCCTGCATGGACATCTGTTTCCAATCTTTTTAGGGCTATACCTAGGAGAGAAATTGCTGGGTCATATGATAACACCATGCGTAATTTTTTTTTTTTGAGAAACTGCCAAACTGTTTTCAAAATAGCTGCACACATTTGCACCAGCAGTACATAAAGGTGTCAATTTTTCTACATTTTTGCTAACACTGATGTTTTCAGTTTATTATTATTATTATGGCCACCCTAGTAAATGTGAAGCAGAATCTCATGTGGTTTTGAATTTTATTTATCTGATGATTAATCATACTGAGTATCTTTTCACAGGCTTATATGCCATTCATCTTCTATATATATATTTTTGGAGATATGGTAATTCAAATTATATGGCCACTTTAATTGAGTCATTTCTGGTTTATTTCTGAATTATGAGTTCTTTATACATCTTTATACAATTTTTTTTATTAAATACTTGCTTTACAAATGTTTTCTCCCAATCCTTGGGTTAACTCTTCATTTTCTTGATGGTGTTAGTTTCAGCAAAAATGCTTTTAATTTCCATAAAGTCCTATTTATCTATGTCTTCTTCTGTCCGTTATGTTCTTGGTGTGTGAAAAGACTTTGCTTCATCCAAGTCATGTAAATGTATATCAGTATTTTCTTTTAAGAATTGTATTATTTTAGCTATGATCCATTTGGAGTGAGTTTTTGTATATGGTGTGAAACAAGGGTCCAACTTAATTCTTTGTGTAAGTATTTAGTTTTCCAGCATCAGTTTTTGCAAGGGTTATTCTTTCCCCCTGTTTAATTACTCTACTAGTTCTTTTCTCTCACAGTAATATGTTTTCATCATTTCTGAAATTCCTTTTCTACTCTTACATTCTAAACTCTGATAAAGAATTTCACCTTTGATTTTCCTCTTTTATTTACTTATTTTTTGGTGTTTGCTCTTATTCATTTGTTACCCTTAGAAAAATCTCATTTTTGCCTGGATTCAGATTTAGAGGTAGAAGCTCTCAGAGAAGACAGCCCGCGCCTTTTGGCAATCTGTCCCTGGTGTTCTTCTTTGGCATAGCCAAAAGTTTAATATATTTTGCAGGTTATCCCTTACTTTTCTTAGTATGTTGTGTCTTCAGAACAATATGCTGACATTTGCATTGCAGGAGGTGTAGAGTAAAAGACGCTGAATCTTGGGCGCTTTGGTCCTACATTTCTTACTTTCTTTGTCTTGGAGCTTTCTCACAGCACATTGATGAACATCGTCTTCTTTAGAGACAGTGAAAAATTTGTGGATTCTGCCAGCTTTTTGGGGCCACATACAACAAGGCAAAGCAGTGTCAGGGAGACCAGGAATATCTTTCATCTTATTTTTTAACACTGATCAAGTTGAAAACACTGAGATTGGCAATCACAATGCAACCCAAAACTGATTTGCACTTTCTTTGTCCAGTCCTCCTCGATCTATAACAGGAATGCCCCTTACTCAGCAACAGGCAGACACAACCAAGGTTCAAGACACGCTGCTCCTCAGGGACACTTTGTTTGTCATCCCACCGCTGATTGGAACAACATAACCTTTCCATTCTTCACCCAGAACATCAGCAGCAACTTCTGTGGCCATATGCTTCTCATGAAAGGTATGAAGTTTGTGTTCATCGCTCACCTCAATGAGTTCCTGGCTGGGAAAGAGATGTCAACTTCAGCCGACTGCCTCGGAGACACCACGGCAAAAAGCCTCCCTGTATCCTCCTTTTTTAAAGCTCTGCATTTTTCTTCCTTTTGAGAACTTATCATTTTTATGATTTT